AATTTCAACTCATTGCACAATAATGTGTGTATATTTTACTTATATAACCTGGCGCTCCTGCAATGTTCCGTTATGTACGTACAACGCTGAAGTAACACGTGTTCTAAATCAATTAAAGTGCTGAAATTTCAAAATAGATTTACCAGGAAATACTCAGCTTGCGATTATGTGATTCAATTACTGTATCATTGATATGTTTTTATATACATATAACCAGTGTTTTCTCTGTTTTGACAGCTGATTTTGTCTAAGAATGCAGTTTTTAGTGTTAAATATGATATAATTTATTTACTGCGAAAAAATGTTACAAAAACTAAAAATTCAGTATATATATAGTATTCCGAGGATTAATTTGAGCACCCAAATATGGCAAGATATGCCTCTTAATTCTATAGATTACAACAACAAAATGTTTTGGTGTTTACGCATGAAAATGTTAATTATTTCTTTTTGTTTTTACTGGTAATGAAAAAAGATTTTTCATAACATTTTTATTATCCTGGGTGGAAGAATCAGGATATCTTAGTATGGACTTACATGTAATACAGTGTAATATGTTAATCTATGATATTATTACCATACATTGATATAGAAATATAACAAGTGTTAAGGTCTACATATATTATTATATTTAACCCTTAGCTATTTAGATGGTCAAGGTTCGGAAATATATAATTATATGATATACAGTGTAACATCTTTATCTGTATGACCAAGGGTTTTGTTTAAATAAAAATAATATTATGACAGCAATAATGATAATGATATGATATACATGACAAAATATATGTCTGTATGACACGCAATTTTGTTTAATTAAAAATAAGATTATGACAACAATGATTATGATAATATAACAAGATACCAAAAGACTGATTCTCATGACCTTCCGCTGTTTCGTTGCTCTTCGTGAAAATTATGTTGAATGTATACACCAAATGAAATTATAAACGTGACTTCGAAAGGAATGTCATTTTATCCACAAACAAAACAACGTACATTTAAATGAGCATTCAGATAGCATCAATTGATTCATGAAAAACGATGATTACTTTCCGTCACTAGATTTAAATATTGCAATCCTACTAAATTCTCAATTAGTTTAATCTAGGTAGGTAAAAATAAAGACAGGGAGATTAAAGGAGCCATTAAACTTGAAATGTCTTTAATACATTACCAAACAGAAAAAAATAACCATCTAAAGTTGTAGTTTAAGACCGCTACCGTCTCTAAAGCATTACGAAGGCCAACTACCACATCCAAGGACATTTTAGTCAAAGTTGGATGGAGCAAGCACTGCTTTGCCCGATAAGACGTACTGGATTAAGGACTCGTAATTAAACATTTCTTTCCCCCAATGCCAGCGTAAATAAAGTTATTTACACCTCTACAAAACGCCATTATGTTACAGCATCAATTTACATTATACATTAGAGAAATGAACTTCAACACAATGCTGAAATAAAAGCCGACAGCACGTTGGAACAGTTAACGAAAAAAATACAATGTATAACATGCTTGGGATGATAAATTTTCTACATATGGTTCACACTGTTTATTCTCTTCTTTATACTATTTTTAGTATGTTGTTTTAATCATCATGTCGCAGCCTAAGTAGAATATTTTGAATAAAATTTGTACTCGGTGTGGATAATTTCTGTTCCATTTAGACAACATTTTTGATAAAATGTATGTATTTAGACTTTAAAAAGTCAATCTTTTCGATTTGAAGATTTTGTAACTTTTTTCAATATAAAAACGCATCGTGGGAAATTGAACTGCACACAAGAAAATAGTTAAAGTAAACCGCGCACGCAATCGTGTGAAATGAACATGATGAGAAAACGCTTTGCTGCTGCATTACCTTCAAGTGAAGCTGACATGGGACTAACACGACTATATTCTATACGTATACACACTGTCTATGTGTTAGAACAGAAAGACATTTTAAAAAAGTGTAGATTACTATAGATTTCGAATCTTCAAAGTAATTACAAGTGAATGTGATATTTGGAAAACAGTTTTTCTATCATTTTAAGTGTATTGCTTTTTGGTGTTAATGGATCAAAATCACACTTCCTATTCACAAGAACTTACTTGCAAAAAATTACTCACAAGAACTTACTTCCAAGAATTTATTCATGGCCTACTTGCATTCATTTATTCACAACAACCTACATACAAAATCATCCTAAATACGAATTTTATTTGTTTTAATTTTTGTTTATTGCCCAAGAGAATTCTTATGTCTTGCACTCAAATGCCCTTACACATTCATCCATACAGTATGCACACGGTCCTATAACTGCCATGAATGAACACATATGTTTATGCATATACCAGATGAAAGTCAAGAGGGCATATTATATGAATGATTTCAATATTATTTGGCAGGTAATAATCATAGTTAACAAAATTTGAATATTCATTGAATAGAACATTGTGATAAAAAACTAATTTCGTTATGCACATAAAAAAGATAAACATTTAACATATCCCTCTAATAAGATCACAAAAATACCTTGTTGTGTTCAGTAATATTCTCAGTAAAATGTTTTGAGGGAAAAATACTCCAAACTTAAGAAAAACATAATACTTCCTTTTATTTCCCGGTTTCGTTTATAATATCTGAGCATTTCAATAACACCAAAATTCTTTTCATTTTATTTTTCATATTGTTTTAATCTAGAAATAGATTGCACAAGTGCTTAATGTTTTTATTTTAAAGACAATGGAATAGAGAAACATATGTTACATACAGTAATACAATTATATAACTCTCCTGATAGAGAAAGGCAAAATCTCAGCATGGCATTGGAGAGAGATCTTGTGAATCAACAGCGCGCTTCGTCACATTAACATGCTACCTTTTCGATGTTATAGAAAACAATATATACTTAACCCATAAACGTCACACCAAGGTTTTCTGATGTGTTAACATTTTTACTCTGCCTTCTCCAGTTTACACAACAACTTTTTTTAAACACTAGGGGAACAATCCACAGGAAAACTCCGAATGTAAAGCGCCAATCGTCGAATACAATTATGTTATTTTTTGTAGATATCTTTCTTTTTACGTTCTCAACCGTATCATGGTTTTAGAAATATAGCTAAATGAATTATGAGACAATTGCCATATTTTCGTTCATATTCTGCATAATGTCTTATTCAAACATAATAAATCCGAATTGTAGAATATGTGAATTCATGTAAAAACAATGAAATATTTATTTCCTCAACACAAAGAAATATAACTAGAGATATTCATCGCTTGTCTATTTATTTAGATAAATGTGATAATTGGTGTTTGTTTAGGACGTGTTGTAACACGATCCATTAAATTTTCATTTTATTTAATCGACATTTTAAACCAACTTTCTTGCGTTAGTTAGTTTTAGCGATTAACAATTAAAAGATAAAACAAATCCATGTTATTTTTCATAATGGTCACAATTATACATTTTTTCAATTAAAAAAAAAATACAAATATGAAATTTAAAAAATTCCATGAATACTCATATTTATGTGTATCATTTATGTATTTCTTCAACTACCTTTATGAATAATCGTTAAAATAAAACAACTGATATTTTGTCAACGAGAAATAAATATATTGAAGTTTGATATAATAGATTATGATTTTATCAGAACAGCATTTCATACTTTTTCAAATAACATGAATTATATTATCTATTCAATGAAAATATATCATGTTTCAATTAATATCATACATTGGTTTTAACTTCTGTAAGGTCATTTAGAAAACTATATGTTGGGGCCTAATCAAAAAATTTTAAAGCATGGATATTTACTATGTGTTTTGCAATGCACTATTTTCCCCCCAAGTCATTTAAGAACGTGTTTCTTATACTTAGTGTTTCTAATGAAGAAGATAATCGACACAAAGCCTTATCAAGATCAACATATAGCTATAACGGTTTTTAAAATATGTATTTTGCTCAGAATATCTATAGTTTTGTTTAAATAAACGTAATGGTTTGAATTCCTAATTTTTGGAAAGAGAGTTTCTAGGATTATAAAAGGTTAGTTAACTACATCTGCAATACAGAACCAGTTTATAATTTTATGTGTTAGTATTTTACAATTATTAAAACTCTCAAAATAAAATATGGCCATTATCCCCTCGCGAAAAATAATTACATTGAACCGGGCTTGCAAAATTCTCTCTTCAATCGATTCCAAAAGCTGTTCACAGATTCTTTTACTGTCAGTCGTTTGTAATAGTCTAATGATAGGGGAGAGACTGAGGGTCTCATTTAATTAAACATTTAGCAAAGTTCTTTATATTTTCCAATTATTTTCCGACTAGCATAGTACCTAAAACAACAACGTGCAGGCATCTCGCTTGATTAGATTTTTAATAATACTGTCTGTTTGTGTTACTATTTCAGCCTTATTTTCGTTTTATTTCCCTTGTGTTGCATCTATTTACATTGAAAATCATCACCCATTATTCTCGATAGATTTAACAAAATAACAGTGCAGCATCCTTAAAATAAAAAATCTGAACAAACTAAAGGACGAAAATTATAGTATATGCATAATACCGAATTAATATATTCATAAAATTAGATGTCTTTCTTAACATTATTAGTCTTAATTATCAACTTTCCGTTGGAGATCTATTTACAATTTTACATAGAGCGCCATCTTAGATCGAATTCAATTCTAACAATATTCCCATGACATATCATGTAATTGTTAGCACTCGTTTCCTGTACAACCAACTAGCCTGATACATTTTATCACGGATAAATAGAAATAGATAATTAACATGTTTTATTATACAGGTAGTGTTTATCTTTTGGTATAATACTGTGATGTGGTTTTATGGCACAACAAAAATGTAAATTTAAATGTAAAAAATTAGTTGATGTTTTTAAATACGTATTCTAAATATGAACTTCAATTGAATTACCACAAAAAGAAAAAGATAGAATAATTTCGTTTACTAAAGATAAATAAGCATAAATTAATACCGTTGTATGTCTCCCTATGCTGGTTTTCATGCATTCGTCGGTACGCTACAAAAACAGGTAAACAAAGAGTTTAGTCTGCAATATTAACACACGTGATAAAGTAATTAAACTTTATTGCAGATTATTTGGACATCAAAAGTAAAGCTACCGTCTTACTAGTTTTCTGGAAAGTCAGGCATATTATATTTCGCAATAAGTAGTCAAGATAGATTCGGGATGACAACAAATGATGTATTAACTTCAATCATTGCATAATATAATAAAATTATCTGTGGTTGGTGCTCAGGAAATGTAACCGATACTTTTTTGTGTTTCAGTTTGATGAGAAGAAAATTAAATTAGAGATTTCAAAATTGTAATATGATTTTCTAATAGCCGTCAAAAATTACTAGAAATCAAGAAAGCAAACATTTCTAAATTACATAACGAATAACAAAAATAATACGTTTGTTTAAAAAAAAAATCTGAAAGAAGTTTTTGTTTTAAAATCCAAGGCAAACATACAGCATTTCCCTATGTGAGTTTACTTAATTGAAAATCAATATTTACAACAAAGTAATACAATTAAAGGTAAAATTCAATTGGGAGATCAAGAAATTAGCAGACGAAAATTAAAACGATTTTAACACATAATATTACAATTATACTAACACACAGTCAATGGAAGAAAATCTGATTTAAAAAAAAATAATGATAATTGGTATCAGAAAAAGTAGTTGTGAATATACACATACCAATATCCTTTAGAATAGCGTGATGATCTCTGCATCTATTTCTTACTTGGTAATAGATTTATAAATCTATATTAATAGGAAATCAACAATTACAGAAACACCCGAAATTGTCAATGCGGAATATCACTAGCATGAGAATGTTTTCATCTGTAACCAATCCCCTAGCTGTAATAATCTTTTATCAAATAAACACAATTTCATCAAACTCTTGTGTTGATAAGACTTGAAAGCTCTAAGCATAAAGCTACTGTTATCATTACTATATACGATGAAAAATTCAATAGAAAAATGAAAAAGTATCCTAATGTTCTTGTCATATACTTGGATCGAAATAATCCTCTATTGGGGAACAAATCGAAAATGACACTTTTCTGAGCGTATCCATCGCTGGCTCGCCCAGCAAAGATCCAATAAACCATACAAATTACTTTTGACGAAGATGAGCCGGGAAAGGTTATTTAATATTTTCAATAAAATCTAAATCCACAAACGTAATTATGAATGCAAAAATGATGCTGAAACCAAGCAAATTATATTTTCTAGCTATTGCCATCCACCGAAGTCTTATTATCTGTCGGCTTGCAGTTTAACGGAGCTAATTCAGTCCGCACAAATCTGTAGTGAAAAGAACTGTCTCCTTATTTAATTTCCAACAATTTTTGCTGTTTATATCAATTTTACCTCGTAAATAAATAGAAAATTTTCAGCTAGAGCGAAAATTATGTAAAATGTGTATTTCCACATTAAGTAATCCAATTTGCTTCCAATCAGCAGCGTTAAGTAGACGACGCTAACATAGTTAGACGAACGTAAAACAATTTTCTTGCCCCAAATCTTATTTCACTCAACAATGGCTGTGCAATATAAACTGTAAAATCCATTTTACTTACCAGTCGGGAACACCGGAGGCTGAGAGTGGTCTCGGGGGCGAGGCACCATGCTACAGCTAGCGGAGGTAATGGCAGGGTTTGGGGGAAAGGTTCGCACCCCATTGTATCTGTACCCCTGGGCAGCCATTTGGCCGAACGGGTTTGTATCTCCATAGGTACAAGGTATATTACAGCTGGCCAAAGGATTTTCCATTCCGGGTATGCCGCAATTGGTATCGAAACTGTTTTGTCCCAAATAAGAGTACTCCATTGTGCCGAGGATGGTGAGTGACTGTTCCTGTGGATGGCACGTTCTCGTGTTGCCAAATCGGCGGTGTGGGTCAAAGAAGCTGTGTTTTTCCACGTAGTCACTTGTATACTTATACTTTGGCGCTGTGGTCAATGCCCAAACCAGTTAAATGCTCGCTCTGCTTAACCCGAGACATATAAGGTATACAAGAGAGAACTTATGTTTTAACAAATTACTCTTGTCCTGGTAGCTATATTTTGATTAGTATAAATGAGTATTGATGAAGTTTACAAAGTGAGAAATTTACCAAGCTCCTGGGACATTTATTTATCGAGAGCCTGATTAAATTATAATACGCCATCCATATCATATACTCCTTTGGTTTCTCGAATTTCATTGGAGCATTCGGTCGTAGAGGCGGTGAAGCCTTGCTCCGATCAATATTTAAATATAATAACGATCCCGTTCCCTCCGTTACAGCGCTGCGCTATCGCCCTCTTCGCCATCACGACTTAGTTCAGCTTCCAATCGACGGAGGACGTGATTGGGAATTGAACTCATCGTTACCCTTTGTTAATCTTTTGCCCAATTAAACACTGTACAAGGGTCTACCAGCGTTTTGGCCAAGCGTCCCGGTAGTAACTATCACCATCTTGAGGACAGGTTATGTATATATAATTGCTAAATGAAATCTGAATGATTACTACGAACAGTTGCTTGGTTTGGCAGTTTTCAAACGATATTTTTGTCGATTCTACAACAGGGACTGGCCTTTAGAAAAATGAGGTAATTGATACAGATATCAAGCTATAAAATCACCCGATTACTACGATATTGGCCTATTCTCTAGACATTTCTACAATTTTATTGCCCAATGTTTTATTTCCATTTAGTGAGTACGTGATTTTAATTCGGTATGGATACGAGACTAAATTAACACTACAACTACACTCCAATCCACTTATCCAATTTCTAAAATTTTGACCTTGGGAAATTAAATTTTGGCACAATAAAGTTTTGAAAGAAAAAAAAAACAAAACAAAAAAAAACAATTAAAAATACATACATTTATGGATTCTTTTCTGGATACAATTTGATAAAAGTTGACTTCGTCCTGAAACAAAAGCTAAATCAAATCAATTTGTAACATCGGTAAAGCTGTTCACTCTAAGTGTCTCCCTGACATTATAGATGTGAATTAAAACTAATAAAACAAAAGAAAATTTTAAAAATCTCATAGCAGAGTTCTGAGTCGTGCGCACTCTATGGTTTGTTCTTAGAATAGTGTTTTAACCACAGACGACAAAATATCATACATAAATTGCTTTCAATAATCAGACCTTACATGTCGGTAGTATGCATGTATTTGTACGATCACTTGTAATATTTGTGTTTTCTTAATCTTTTATATAACGACCAACTGTCTTTTGTAATTAATAATTTTATATTTGCTTCATTAGATATTAAGATGACAGTTTGCATACAAACATGATAGAAATAAAACATTTTAACGACATAACACACCTGTTTACGTGTATAATATACATGTCGATGTCATATGTTTTAACATTTTTAAAATCAAATATGAGAACAGTATTTCTTTCTTATCGATATTTAATTCATTCAAATATTAAGCATAATTTTACAATACTAATCACAATAAAAATATCCTAATGATGTATCAATAGGCAAGAGCAAATTTCAACTTCTTCCTGAATATTTTCAATTTACTATAATACTATATACAATTTCTGTTTTATGAATTACAACATTTTGTTTAAACGATATTTAATTCAATACAGAGAGTTTTCGTCGTGTTTGTATTTCACAAATCCACAGTAATGATAAAATAGATGATGTTCATTCACTGGTGAAATACCCGTGTAATATCCTGAATGTGGCTTATACTTCATCCAACAGCTATTTCAGTCAAAAAGAGTCAACTGAAATGATTTTTACAAATATGCCAACCGTGTCTATTCTGTTTAGCAAGTCCTGTTAGGAGAACTTGATAAGAAAAAAATCGATGATGAATTAATGTGTAGTAGCATTTAAATGCCAGAACGTTTGACTGGTAGTTTTGTGGATAGTTCAATCAGAAAAAAAAAATCGTTCTTTTCTGACATAAAACAAGATCTAAGTATTTCAAAAATGTCATCTTATTTCTTCTTTTCAAAATTAAAATAAAACACTGAAATTAGCCGCCAAATATTCAGCAAATATGTACTAAAACAGTGTAAAATATGTACTATGTACTAAAACACTGTAAAATAAATACGTTGATTTACTAATGGTAAGAATTGTATACATTTCATCTCAAAACAATTTTGTTCATAAGTAAATACTTTGTAGGCAAGAACAAATTATATCCACAACGACTTTTTTATAAATATTTTTGACGTTAGATGTCAAAAGTCTTTCTCAACAATTACACTCTGTAAGTTATTACCATGGCAACCAAATCGGTCCGAAATTGGTCATATTGACAATATGATATGATGTTCTTTACAGTTCGCTAGTTGTGAATCTGTTAATATACGATACAATTAAGAGTCTCTTCGCGATCACGGGATATTGATTTATTGATTTATTGATTTGGTGTTTATTTCAGTAAATTAATAAATCGGCTCCATAATCCGATAAGACAATAATAAACACACTAAGAATAATGAAAATATGTATCTTCTCTCTTGTATGTCAATGTCATGTTGACTTCTGGTATTAATATAGACCGTTTTTATCCTTATCTAATTACGTCTGATATTTGCTTAAATACTAAATACATCGATTGATTGGAAATATAAGTTTATACATCAAGGCTTTACTAACTTCTACTTTCATATCTCAACTTGATGCACATAAACTTCCCTCACATACACCGGGATACAGAGCATAACTGGCCCTAACAGCTGTAAACTTAATGTGAACACAAAGAAATACTAATAACATATTTATGATATCTATACATTTCTTCTGAATTTTTCAATAGATAAACTTATATGTATAACTTACAAGACAATGGCAAATGATGGCTACGAGTTAGACAAATACCGGGCATATTGCGGATTTACAGGGAGGGTCAAACTCTAACACAATTTCGGAACACATTAGAATTCGCTTTTGCTCCGTGGCATTAGAAAGTTTTCTTTCAGGACTTTTTTCATTGGTGTGGTCCTAAAGTGTCCTAGTTCTTTGTATATCTAATACATGTCATTTTGTATGTATTTGCTTAGATTTACATATTTTTAAAGTGAAGTATAATGAAATACATAAATGTAGAAATCATTATTGATGTTACGGTAACTATGACACAAATTTATAACCTTATGTTAAATACTCTGACTACATGGACTAAACGTGTGATGGCAGTCTTATTGAGGGAGGAATCCTGAGAACTCAAATCACTTTCATAAAAACATTTCAAATCCACAAATGTTAGCTTGTTACCTGTTATCTCAGTAGAACCAAGCGTTTTTCTGAATCATACTGATTCCCTTTTTTCTTGTCTGGATACTGTCTTGCTACGTACCCTAGAAATCACCTCCTGCAGTCCATGGACATTTCTTTATAAATCTTTCCTCAATTTTTTTAATTTTGGAAACTTACATTATGAACTTAACAAAACATAAAACCTATTTCAACAAAGTATTTCATTATTTATTTCAAAAACATTTTTAATTCATGTATTTTTCTAGAATAAAACATCAGATTCCAAATGTATCAAATGTACTAATAGTGTTTCAGATAAGATTTATTTCTTACCAAGCATACTTGCTATATATATACTGTCTTAATAAATTTACGGAATATTTATTTTGCAAAAAAAAAAAAAAAAAAAAATGCAATGTGTATGATATGTCTGTAAACCTTTGTAGAGAGTAACCTTACCCAACCATATATAAGGATTGATACCAACAGTTTCATTATGTCAATATTACATTTCACTGTATGCCTGTGCTGTTGTATATTAGTAAAGTAAATGACAAACTGAGTGTTCATTGCAATGAGTTTATCCAATATATAGGTATCGAAGCCCGGAATCGTCCTGCCCGTTTGCGGGGTAAAATTGGAGGATGATGCTAGCGATAGCAGACAAGAACAACACAGACAAACGAATTAGCTGGAAAAGATCGCAATTACACTTGTAATGGAAACAAATGAAGGTGTTTCAATTCCCGCGCAGTCAATGCGATTTGTCCACGTAAAATGTCATGTAATACTGTTATCATGTTTGTTCAAAACATGGATAGTCTAATTTATGTTGTCATATTGTATAAGCACATGTTTTCAAATGCGTTCTGCGCGCTAAACTCACCGTTAGGTTTTGGCTGTGCAGAAAATCGTTGCGATGTTTGTGTGTACTTAATATTCGTTCAACTTTCAAAGAACAAATACATTTTTTTGTTGTATAATACTGTTCCGATTTTTTTAGAAATATTAAAATATGACAAAATCAGAGGACTAATTGATAACAATATATATATGTATGTATATCAATGTATGTTTTACGAACATTCTTGCTATTTATCTTAAAGCTACGACGTTAATTCAATGAAAACAATTGTCATTACTGCTAGCATGTCCATAATAACCTGATGCTTCCTTCTAATTCCATTATCATTCCTCAGTGTCATTGTTTATTTTAGATGTATGCTTTGGAGGAGAAGGAGTTGATAATGATGATTTGCCCAATTCTCTTGTCATTATTTTATAAACAAACATAAATAATATAAAACTTTACCGCTCTGCATATTTAATTTTAAGTGGAGTATCACTTACGAGGTATCATTTAATTTGTTTCTTCGCGTTTGAAAAAAAAATCTGTGCTAAAACACAAGTCATTTTGATTTATTGATAAAACATTAACGATTTGTAGTGAATATTGATGTCATTGAAACAAATGTGAATAAATAAATGATTTACGAAATCCCACAGGAAGCCACAGCAGGTAGATCTAATCAAAACATGTATATCTCACCATAGTTTTCATATCTATCTGATCTGTTATCACTCTGTAATAC